TATGTTCCTGCTTTACATGTTTGTTCCTGCTTTACATGTTTGCTCCTACTTTACATGTTGGTCACACTCAACGCAGCTGGTTGTAGGAAGCTGGAGTTAGCAGGTCCGACAGGAAGCCTGAGCTAAGTTAGCATGAAAGCTAACACGGGAAGTCAACAGAGGTCACATAAATAACATGTCTAACCTCAGCAACAATTAAACTACTCAAACTGACCAACATTAATCTAGAGAAGCCTTGTGTGTGCTTACTTTTTGTTCTTACACTTGTAGTGTAATGCATTACAAGTTGTTCATAGCCGGCTAAGCTAAGTGACGGTTTCCGTATCATTTACACATTAATTTATCAAATATTAATTTATGCTGCAACTTTTAATCAGTTTAGCTCAACTAGTCATGCATCATGTATGAGTTATTGTTTTCGAGCACTAATGAACTAACTGGAAACATAAAGTTATGCCAGTCTAAAACAAATCAACAGGTAAATCTAATAAAAATAGAAAACTGTCAAGTCTATTGTTGGATCCTACAAACACTCTGTTGGTTTATTAAGGAGTGGATCCACATGTTGACTCGCTCAGTCCTCTCACTGTCCTGTGTCCTCACTGGACACTCCAGATGTTACACACACCTCAGCAGGTGGAGGTGTCCTCACTGGACACTCCAGATGTAACACACACAACAGCAGGTAGAGGTGTCCTCAGTTGACACTCCAGATGTTAAATGAAAAACACTTTCTCCAGATGTTACACACACCTCAGCAGGTAGGTGTGTCCTCATTGGTCACTCCAGATGTTAAATGAAACACACTTACTCCAGATGTTGCACACACCTCAGCAGGTGGAGGTGTCCTCAGTGGACGCTCCAGATGTTACACACACCTCAGCAGATGGAGGTGTCCTTAGTGGACACTCCAGATTTTACACACACCTCAGCAGATGGAGGTGTCCTCAGTGGACACTCCAGATGTTACACACACCTCAGCAGGTGGAGGTGTCCTCAGTGGACACTCCAGATGTTAAACACACCTCAGCAGATGGAGGTGTCCTTAGTGGACACTCCAGATGTTACACACACCTCAGCAGGTGGAGGTGTCCTCAGTGGACACTCCAGATGTTACACAGACCTCAGCAAATGGAGGTGTCCTCAGTGGACACTCCAGATGTTACCCACACCTCAGCAAATGGAGGTGTCCTCAGTGGACACTCCAGATTTTACACACACCTCAGCATATGGAGGTGTCCTCAGTGGACGCTCCAGATGTTACACACACCTCAGCAGATGGAGGTGTCCTCAGTGGACGCTCCAGATGTTACACACACCTCAGCAGATGGAGGTGTCCTTAGTGGACGCTCCAGATGTTACACACACCTCAGCAGATGGAGGTGTCCTCAGTGGACGCTCCAGATGTTACACACACCTCAGCAGGTGGAGGTGTCCTCAATGGTCACTCCAGATGTTAAATGAAACACACTGACTCCAGATGTTGCACACACCTCAGCAGGTAGGTGTGTCCTCAATGGTCACTCCAGATGTTAAATGAAACACTCGTACTCCAGATGTTGCACACACCTCAGCAGGTGGAGGTGTCCTCAGTGGTCACTCCAGATGTTACACACACCTCAGCAGATGGAGGTGTCCTCAGTGGTCACTCCAGATGTTGCACACACCTCAGCAGGTGGAGGTGTCCTCAGTGGACGCTCCAGATGTTACACACACCTCAGCAAATGGAGGTGTCCTCAGTGGACACTCCAGATTTTACACACACCTCAGCATATGGAGGTGTCCTCAGTGGACGCTCCAGATGTTACACACACCTCAGCAGATGGAGGTGTCCTCAGTGGACGCTCCAGATGTTACACACACCTCAGCAGATGGAGGTGTCCTCAGTGGACGCTCCAGATGTTACACACACCTCAGCAGATGGAGGTGTCCTCAGTGGA